GTTGGTGTAATGTGGAGGATGTCTAGAAAGCAAGGGGCAGGGAGAGGGCAAGATTAGTTGCTTTGCTTGGTCATACAGGGCAGCAAGACTCCTGTCTCCTCCTCCGGGTTCTAGAGGCAGAGGTGCTGAAGTCACAGCCACTCGGCACATCTCAGGTTTGTATTAAAATGAACAGGGCTGAACATAGAGTTTAGTAAAGTCTATAAACATCTAGGGGAAAAGATGGGGCAGAACACTTAGCATCAACTTGTACTTACATACATACATGAACTTAACAGCATCTTGCTTTCTGAAGGAGATGCCCTGACTTACAGCATTTTAAACATTCTTTTAAAAATACGTGCTGAGATTTTGCTATTCTGCAGATCAGTTTTAAGAACCTTAAGTCTGTGGCTTCTCTGAACCACCGTGGCAGCAAGAGGTGTGAGGTGCACTGCAGATGGGCAGGCAGAGACAATTTCTTACCTTCTGATGAGGTGAAATGCCAGACCAATCAACAAGAGCGCAAGCAGGAGAGATCCCACCACAAACAGGGCAATTTCCCAGCCCTGGAAGGAGGCTGAGGGTGGAAAAATAGAGACAGAAAGTTGTGCTCATGATCTTTGCAAGCCTATAGTGCCTTCGAGAGGTCGGCTTCTCCCAGCCTCCTCTGCAGAGCCCCCTTCCACCACCCTGGAGAATATCCACCCTGCAGCAACTTTGTGTTTGCTCTAGCGCAGCTTGGGTGCCAACTGGTCCCTCAAGGCAGGAGGGTTTTCTCTGGTAACAACTCTCTAACCCCCCCGGGCCGCAGCCCCGCTTGCTGTGCTGGCCGCAGAGGAGCAGAGCGCCATGTTAGCTCTGCCTCCTACTCACAGCCACCTGGCGACATCTGAGGCGCGTTCCTCCAGGTGCTGCACTCAGCGCTGCTCCTCAGCACCCGGCCTTCCACGGAAAGGGGCTGCGGGCTGGCCAGGAGGCCCCGGTGCCAGGCCATGATGTCCCGCTGCTGCTCCGGCTGCCGGGCCCACACCTGGCCGGACACCTGCACCAGGCCGTCCGCGCACGTCGCGTTCAGCTCTGCAGAGAAGTGACACAGGGTCCCCATTAAGAAGCTGAAGCCTCCTGCTTCTGAAATCACCCACGGTGGACGGCGCTTCATTCCCTCCAGAATATGTAGCTCAAGCACATGCTCAACCCTCCTTTCAATGACAGAATGACCTTGGAGTGCTCCTCCCAACCCTCAGAATACCTTGGGCTACACTCAGAGTGACTTCATAACTTCAAGACTTCTACCCATTGGTCGGAGTTGCTTGAAATTGTTCGAAGGACCAAAAGACTCTTCTGCCAAAGAAACTGCTCAGGAGAGGGAGGCCTGGCAGCTGGTAGGACTGTTCATGTCCTTACACAACCAAGCTAAAAGCCTGGCAGCTGGTAGGACTGTGTAACCTTCATGTCCTTACACAACCAAGCTAAAAAATAGGCAGCATTTCTTTCTAGCTCTCAAAAGCTGCAGGGCACTAAGACTTTTGGAAGTGATTTTCTGTTCTAGGTACTTCAGCTAGATATAGGACACTCTAAAGGCATCTGATTTGGGAAGGGGTAAGAAACACCCCCTTCTCTGGAGGCCAGAGGTCTTTAGGGTGTAAAGGACTTCTTGCTTTGCAAGTTTAGATTTGCCTCCCAGGCACCCCAAGGCATCACTTACATGCCCTTCTTGGCAACCTTGCCCTATCCTTGTCCCACATTGTACTGGATAGTTGGCCATAAAGGAAATGGTGGGGAGATCAGATCTGTGATCTCAAACCATTTGGACCATTTTCAGAGGTGTGTCACACTGATATTAGGAGTACCTTGTAGTCCCTTTTGCTGGCCCGTGCTCTACTAGGCAGCCCCTGCGCTCTCCTTGGTGAAGGTCTGGGCAGGCACCACTGCACGGCCGGCTCACCTCACTCGCGTCATGAGTGTGCAGGGCTCAGAACGAGGAACTGCCTCAGAGGAGGGAACGTGACCCTTCCTGTGGCCTGCCCGGGGCGGCCGCGGATCGGCAGCACTGCAGACTGCGCGCGCCGAGCGGGGCCCTCACCCTGCAGGTAGAGCCGCGAGACGCCGCAGGAGCAGTTCTGCTCCAAGGAATCCAGCAAGACGCTTCCCATGCTCTCCAGCATCCTGCTGCGGTTCAGGGCCCACGCAGAACAATCTACAGGAAGAGGAGAAGTGGTTACTTGAGTGCAGCTCAGGCCTGTGCATAAGCTTCCAGCTCTGCCCTCCTTCCAAAACAGGTGTCCTCATGCCTGGCCTCATGAGCAAAGCTGGCCACAGCCTGGTCACTGCTTGGTGGCAGCCTCCACATGGAGAAGGGTGCTTGCACGGGAGCCCTCCGGCTGGCTGGGCCTTGTCCCATGGCTCCCTCGGGGTCAGAGCAACCCCTTACAGCCCAAGACTGCGGAGAAAGTGATGAGGTTCCCTGCCTTACTCCAATATTTACAGGGAAGAAGCAGCTGCATCCCAACCTCCTCTACTTTTCTGCAGCGCTCTGGCTCTGGCTCTTCTGGCTCTTCCCTTCTGGCCTTCAGCGGACACACGCAGCAGTTTAACTCCCTCTTTTATATCCCAAAACATCTTCTCCAAAGCTGACCCCAGCGTGGCCCCTGTGGGGGCTGCAGACCCCACTGTGCACCCAGTCGCTGTCGCCAGGGCCTGGACAAGGTCGCACTGCTCGGCTCGTCCTGCTGGACTGGGACAGGATGGTTTGCTGACCATTTCCCTGGCTGTGTGGCTGTTACCATTGCAGACCCCAAAGATGATATCTGACCATTGCTGGAAAGCGAAGTGACTTTCCACGTGGCTGGGCAAACATCTCAAGAGCAGGGCTGCATCCCTGCTGAGCAGAGGTGTCTCCAACAAAATACGCTGCCACCTTCATATGAAGAGCATGGGTGAGGCTGCCCACTCAGAGCAGCAGTGTGGTCTCCGTCACACCAACATGTCGGGGTCTACATCAAGCCTCCCTCCTGCCCGCGGCCCCCTTGCACCATGAGAGGACCCTGCAGGCCGGGGGCGGTCATGGCGAGCACAACATTTCCCTCCCGGTGCCCCAGGCCCTTCCCAAGCCATCGCTGCCCACTCTGCTCACCAGGCGTCAGGAAGCACAGGTCGAGGTCCACGCCGAGGGCCTCCTGGGGACAGCTGTTCCGCACGCCGGGCGTCGGCGCCGAGACGGCGAAGTGCAGCGCCGCGCCGCAGCAGGGGCAGCGGCTCAGAGACACGGGCCTGGCCCCAGAGAAACGAGGCAAACCTCAGCAGCGCAGCACGCGGGTTTCCCACATCCCCTCCAGAGCCACAGTCCTTGCCATTCCTGGGGGTGGCAGGGAGTTGGGTTTGGCAAAAGGAAACCTACTCGATTTGCCTGGTTTCTAGAGGAGTAAGAACATGTTACAGTGGCGTACAGCACTTAAAGAGGGTGGCTTTAGTTCAAAGAGGTGATTTTGTTGAAAGGAGAAAATTCCTGGTATTCTCACCTCAGGATTCTCTGCCTTTGCCAAGCAGAGAATCCACCTAGTTGTGAAAGGAAAGTCAGGTTTGTTTTTGGTCTGCTGCTCACAAAGATGAGTTTTAAGGAAAAAAAATGAAGTTTGGCAAAGCAGCACTGCAGTTGCTAACTGTGAAGTCTGAATTCCTTCACCTGATGCCACATATCAATATGTACCCCTTGAGGAAGGGGAACAGGCTGCCCAGAGAGGCTGTGGAGTCTCCTTCTCTGGAGAGCTCCAAAACCCGCCTGGATGCCGCCCTGTGCCACATACTCTGGGTGTCCGCGCTAGAGCAGGGGTTGGACTGGATGATCTCCAGAGGTCCCTTCCAACCTTAACCACTCTGTGACTCTGTGATTCAATGGGTGATTCTGTGAAGAAGGCAATGGAAGCCAGCAGCACAGTGCCAAGTCTGAATTCCCTATGCTGAAGGAGGGAAATCCTCTTCCATGGCAATATGCTACCCATGCTGCCCACTTTTCCTTTCTTCATCCCACCTGTGGTGAATGTGTTGGGCTTTGCAGGACACCAGACAAGACAGCGAGCTCCACAACGTGCTGTCTGGCAGCTCTGGACATGAAGAACATACAGGCATTTCCCAGGGGAAGTCGCCTCACCTGTCACCCTTGCAGGGCACGACGTAGGATGGTCCCAGGACGTCCAACTGTCCTCCCCCACTGCCAGGTCCACATGTGAAAACCACAGCGTCCACCAGGTTCTCCGCTGTTGCCTTCATGTCGCCAGGAATGAGGCTGGTGTTGTACACGGCAATAGCACCATAACCTTCACTGGCAGCAGGGATGTCCTTGACAGTCGGCTTCATGTCATCTGGAAATGCCAGGGGGATAAAGGGAGTGAACATCTAGAGCTTAGGGCCTTGAGCCCGAAAGGACAAGCTGGTAATAAAGAGTGGATTTCGCCAGAGAACTTGAAGAAACAGCAGGCAAAACAGTGATAGTGATGGACTAGAAGAAGCCACTGCTTGCTGTGAACACAGGTTTCTGGAAGGTCAAGGTTCCGATACAGAGGAGGTTGCTCTTCATGCAACCCAGGCAGAATTTAAGAACAAAAATAAACATTAATGCATGTGCCAAGGAAACACCATCTCATCACCAGGAGGAGGCAGCAGCGTTGCAGGCTGTTGGCCCATCCAGCCTCAGGAGCAAGTAAGATACCAGTGAAGAGCTGAGAGCAGACTCCACTTCTGCTAAAACCCGCCTGGCCATGGGACTGGCGAAGGAGCTCTCAGTCTTCCAGGTCACTCTGATCTACACCAACAGTTCAGCAAAGCAACTAATCTATGAACCTTAAACCCTTGCTCAGGAGGAACATCCCACCCAGGCCAGAGCCCAGAGCCAGGCCATGAAGGAAAGGACCATCTGCCTGCGAGGCTCCACCATGAGTCTTACCGTGCTTGGGCTCTCCGTCTGCTGCAAGCACGAACAGTCCCGTGGCTCCAAAGGTGCCCCACAGTGGGATGCTGGCGGACACTTTGCCCCCCTTCTTGGAGAAGAGGACCAGGTTGTGTCCTTTCAGGCTGGCTCCGGGCTCCCCCTTCAGCTCCACGAAGCAGTAGGGAGCAGTGCCGTTAACGAGGCACAGCTCGTTGATGAGGATGGCAGAGGCGCGAGGAGGCAGAGCTGCGGAGGGGCTGCAGGAGTTCTCTGCGAGCGGCGTCGTCACGGTCACCTGCGGGGAGATGGACAAGCTGCTGCCACCATCACCGTCCCCATTCCTCCAGGTGGAGATACTGCTCCTCACGGTGCTACTCCTTGCTCAAGTCTCCCCAGAGCCTCAGGTAAGACCCACAGGAGGATGTGGTTGGTTCTGACTCACAGCTGTTCCTCACCTCCCACTACCGCATCAAAGGGCTGTCCTAACTGCAGGGTTACAGCCCCCATCGCTGCCTTCCTTTTTTCTTCATAGTTGTCTTCACTTCCATCTTTGAGACAAAGAGAAATTATCTTTCCCTGATAACAGGGGCATTTCTACACTCGTATCTCGACTCCATACCAACACTTCCTTGGATCCTTTTCCTGGTGCATAAGTCACTTGGAATGTAACAGTGTGATGGCAGCTTAGTATCTCCTCTATCACAGATCTCTTCTACATCCATAGCACTTTTATGGTCTCTATTTTTCATAAAAATCAGCATCAATCAGTCACACCAACATTTAAGATATGTCCTTTACAGCTTCACCTTGCAAGAAGAAGGGTTTCATGGATGTGAACTGTTGTATCACACATCCTGAAACTGGCACCAGGCAAGCAGGGTAAAGAGGTGGCTCTGCATGTGGCCTGGGAAAACCCTAAAGATGAGGGTGCTCTCCCAGAGCAAACTGCCCGGGTCTGGACTGGTGGCATGGGAGCTGCCTTAGGGGCTCTGAACTGTGTGGCACAGGGCATGGAGTTAATATATGACTAAATACAGGAATGAAAGTGGGGCAGGTGATGGCTGGTGGAGAGCAGCAGTGCTGACAGGAGATAGAAATGATTCACCAGAATGCCCTGTTTTTCCCAATAAAGGACATATTGGAAGGCAACGTCACCTTCCCAGGGAATATGGATGGAGAACAGACATCCGCCCTCCACCTACCTGGAAGCTGCTCTGCAGTTTTGCGCTCAGGCTGTTACAGCGGCTCAGAGACTCGTCTTCAGGGCTATGGGAATCGTCTTCGTACAGGATGCTCTGCCCTGGCAGCAGCACTTGGATCAGGCGGTCCGCCTTTTCCGACGGTCGGGAGGTGTACACCACCGCATCCACCAGCCCGCGCGCCGTCACCGCCGCAGTCGCCTTGTAGGAGGAGGTGGTGTTGCTGTAGTAGAGGGCCACCGCGTCCGCCCCGTTCTGGATGGTGTTTGAGGGCAGCCTGATCATGGGTGCTGGGCTCACAGCACTGCTCCCCACCAGGAAGAACCCCAGCTCATTTGTATGATGCCCGGACAGGTCCAACACCCGGTAGGCCAGGTTATTTTTACCATTGTAGAGGACCAGCCAGTATCCCTGAAGGTCGAAGTGTCTCCGTCCAGTGTAGAAGAGTTCGATGTACTCTGTGTCTTCTCTTCCTCCTGGGTTGTCTGGGTTTATCTCACTAATGAGTAGCTTGGCCACTTGTGCAGAGGGCTCTTGTGTCCCTTCTGGTATCTCTGATGGGACACCTTAGAAAGCAAAAATGACACAAGCATGGGCCTAAACACAGAGCCCTAGGCAAAGGAAGGGGAGCAAGGAAGTCTTTGCCAGAGTTAGGGAAATGGAGGGAGGAACATCTCTCTTCTGGGTGAGTTAGACCCTCACGTCCACCCTCACATGCACTGTGTCCCCCAACCAGCAAGAATCATGCTTGGTACCTGGAGGTAATTCTGACGCATTCATGTCCTTGAAGCAGGAGCTTTCTGCTGTGATGTTCTTCCCGTCAAAACTCAAAACTCTGGGGCTCTCTAGGAAGGTTCTGAAGTCTAGCAGCAGGCTGCTCAGCTGGTCTTCTGACCTGGCCGTTAGCAGAGCACTGAACGCAAGCCCCAGGTCCTGGCAGACTGCCTTGGAATCTGGAAAGGCAAGCAGAGAACTGCCTCAGTTTCACTGCATCCTCATGAAGATACACTTCATCCTGGAAGGGATGAAGAGCAAACCAGCTCATCTCCACCTCTGCTGCCCTCCTGGTCAGAGCCGATTCAGGAGAAGAGCTTAAGCAAATGGCTCATACCACCAGCTCAGTGCTGTGAGCTCTGCAGCATCCTCTGTGCCTGTTCATCCTCAATCCTCCTGGAGGCTTTGTAACCCCAGCAGCAAACAGAGTGGTCCCTTGGAGGAGACTCAACACAGGGAGCTGAACATCACACTGCCGTCAGCTCAGGTTGCACAGATAGGCCTCTCCATGCGTCTGCTCGTGCTCACCACGCCTGCACACGAGTCTAGCAGTGGTGTCACAGGAACGCAACCAGTAAGTCCATTTGTGTTTCTGCTGCAACTTGGCTTATTTGGCAGGTCCACAACACTCGATTCAATAGGAACCTTACTCAGAAACCTGTTTGTTGCTACTGCAACTGTGCGTTACCATTGTGGTCATCTCTCCCCAGCCAAGTGGCATCACCTTCTGCAAGGTGATTCGGGGATTAATGAACTAATTTTGGCTTTCTGGAGTCCAGTTTTATTTGGATCCTAAGGTCAGTTAGGCAACTAACTCTTAGTCAAGATGTTGGTCTTGTTGCCACCCCTGCCTGATAGAAAATAGGGTGAAATAGGTGGCAGGGCAGATCAACACTGGTGTATGTTGGGAGAGATGCAGGTGACAGTGCTCTGCAGAACATGTGCAGAACAGCACCACGCTCTGCTTAACACTTGGCTTTTCTGTGATCAGCAGCTTCACACAAATTCATATGAGTTGGGATCTAGACCAGAAGGATGTGATTGCACAGGGTTGAAAACCAGATGTGACTTGGCATTAACTGCCAGCGGGCCCTGGACTGGCCCTCTCCTGCCTTCCTCACCTTTGAAGTAGGCGATGGAGATTCCACAGTCGCAGGACTTGTCGAGGGCTTGGACTAGAGTCATCAGGATCTCCTCTGACCTCAGGAGCCACTCCTGGCAATCTAGGAGAGAAAGAAAACGAGCATTATCCAGCCAGGGAAACTTCAGCCATAGGCTCCAGTTCATTCCTGCATGGATGCAGCTCAACTGTTATTTGCTACTCAGAGGGTCTGAAAAGGCTTTACTTCATGCAGAGCAGGAGTCAAGACTGAAGAGGTTTAGTCTGGAACAAGTTTTTGGGAAGAAAAATATCCCGTAGAGTTGTCAGCTGTTCCTGTTGCATCCATTTTGGTAACTCCCACACATCTCGACATGGTTCAAGGTAGAACCCCTGGCTTTGGGCACACGCTCTTGTCCTTAGCAAGCTGTGCCTGCAGGAGCAGAGCAAGCCACTAACACCCACCTGCCACAGGGAGGCAGAAGGAGATGGTCTGGCTGAAGTGCCTACTGGGGCAGTCATTGACCTTGCCAGGGGTGGGGCTGCTGAGGACGAAGGAGGTAGAATCCCTGGTCACAGAGCAGCAGTTGCATTGGCTCATGGACACGTCACCCGGCCGGCGCCTGAAAGAGACACACGGGAAAACGAGAAATGAGAGGAAAGCCAGAGAATGGGGTGCTCTTCACCTGCAAGTTACATCTACTCACGCTAGAGGATGAAACTGTACACGTAAGATCTTCTCCCCTCACAAGATCTGGAGAGATACCCCCTTCTCCCCAGTATCTTGCTGTGTAAAATATGAGCCCAAAAGCTCTCTAGCCCGCAAGAGAAGGGCACAGGCTCCACAGCACCCTTTCTATTCTAGCAAGTCACCTGCTACTTTCCTCTCAGCTTCCTTGCTATCCATATCTGTCTCCATAGAGTGGCCACAACACAAGGCTTTTGACTGAAGACAGTCAACTCAGTACAGAGATGCTTGTGCTCATGCTGAGATGATGCGGGGGGACCAGCGAGGTGCAGCTAGAGAACACAGAAAGGGAGCATCTGAGGATGAAAGGTTTGGGCAGGAGCCCTCAACTTGACAGCAACGACCTCAGAAAAAAAGACACCTTATGGCAGAAATGTGGATTTTGTTCCACCAAGAGCAGGAAGATGAGAAAAGGAAAGGAATAGGAGTGTGCTGTGTTGGTGACCCTAGCACGGAATTAAACGATGCTCTTTTCCTGACTCAGTTAACTCTGATGAGGTCTTAGATGTTCTCGGGCTCATCCTGAAAGGATGATCTGCAGCTGTGGAGCCAGGACACTGGTATTTAATTGATCAGTTACACACAGATCAAGTCTGAAAGCCACGGACAAGAGCTTTCCCAGATTTTTTTTCCTTATTATCTTGTTCTACACACCCAACATCATGTCCATGTGCATTGCATCTCACTGCCTCTGCCCCTCCACTTGTACCACTGTTTTTCAGCCGTTCTGTTTGTCCTCTAATTTTCCAGTGAGTAAAACCTGCCTAAAATGTGAAAGAAATAGTTTTCATGTCCCACAAAAATTTGACATTACCAATGTATCTTTCAAGCCACATGGGGGCAAACATTTGCTCTTCAAAAACCAGGAAGAAAGTGGCTCAATCTAAAATGGCAAGTAACCCAACTTCAAGTCCTTGGTCAGAGCAGGGATTTCAGCCTGGATCAGGTGAGCATCATCACCATCAGAGATACCAAGCTCCCTCCCCTCTCCCTCATTTCGACCTGGAATTCCATCCATCCATCCATCATAGAGCAGTGAAGGCCAAACTGGAGGTGTGTCATACGGCACTACAGACCTCACGGCTGCCAGGAGCTCTCCTCTCCAAGGGGACCTAAACCTCTTCACAGTCAAAACCTCTTTTTGGAAGGGTAAAGACATGATTTAAAGACTCCAGTAGGCAAGGCTGACTCCAGCAGCCAGATTCTCTTCCCAGCCCTATCCAACAAGAAGCCCCTCACCATGTTTTTTCGTAGGCAGGTCTGCCCGGGGTCAGGGTCTCCAGCAGCTCGGGGTCTGGTCCCTCATTGCTCGTGTATACAAAGGCATCCACCAGGCCGGTCGTCGGCAGTGATTTCCCCAGGAGGAAGCGGCTGCTGGTGCCTCTGTAGAGGGCGATGGCACTGGCACCATCCCTGAGGATGGGGCTGCTGGCGTTTGGTGGGAACGGCAGATCCACTGCACGCCAGGAAAGAAAAGGAAAAATGGCAGTATGTAAGAAATGCACAACCAATACCCAGCTGGTTATTGCAGGAACCCAGCATCCCGTAGGGCCTAGAGAGCAGGATGCGCTAACCCGGAGAAGCGCCGGTGGTCACGGATCTTGCAAGGCCTGCAGGGCTGGATTTCTCCCTTCGTGATCAAGGTCGCGGGCTGGGAAGGGGCCGGAGGGGAAGTCTGAGCAGAGTTTGTTCTGCTATTTGGGTTCTCCTAACAGAGAAGCTGATTCATGGGAAACTGCAGGGTGCTCATGTGGCTGTTCATGCTAGGGTCAGTTTTTAATATCTAAAAGAAATCTGCAAAATGAACTAAGTTTGAAAGTAGTGGTTGCTCTAATAGGGCCACCAAGATATTTAAGAACTTTCATTTTATTTTAGCATTTAACTAGCAATACCTGGTTTTCACAAACACATACTCTGCACAAAGGCCCAAGATATCAGGAGAATTTGGTGCTTTTCCAGTTTCCTGAGCTTCTCTCCTTGCATATGCTTTACATGCTCCTTTCCTGACACCCGGCAGGAAGTGCTGAGGCCATCACAGAGCAGCAGACTGCTGAAGTTTCAATAATCCTCCCTTGTCTAAAGGACTCCAGGGAATAAACATAAAAGCAGGAATCGTAGGAGAAGGCCAAGGGGTGCAGAAAAGGGAGGGCCACCTGTGAAGTGCCACCAGCAAGGACCTGCAGGCTAACGGACAGCCCGGTGCGTTGGGCACTGAGGTACCCCTGCGCCCTGCCCAGCTGAAATCTGCCCAGGGGGGCACTTTTTCCTTATTCCACTGAAGGATTTCACACCAGCAGAAATCAGGGCAGGACTTTTGCCCTAGTGCTCTTACAGTTTTAAATCCAAAGCTATTTTAAGAGCTCCTGGCCCAAATTGACGATAATTCAAGGGTCAGCTTTTCACAGAGTGCTTAGTGTGGCAACACTATGAAAGCAGCCTTTTTAGATGACTAAAATGTAACCCAGTATCACTTTATTTTCTTTTTTTAGAAAAATCTGGACTACCCTTCTGCAGAAAAGAGCTTATCAGTATGCGTGACACGTCTTGAGAAAGCCCCAGTGGAAGAAAAGCCAAAGCATATCCAGCATCACCTTCTTGCTTGAATGAGCCTGGAGGGACAGTTCAACCTCATCGCTAGAATTGGGAGTTCAGCCCTTGGCCTGCGAGCTCGTCGTGCTCTCGGAGCACTTTCGTTGAACCCCGGTAGCCTTCTGCCTGCGGAGGGGGAAGAGGGACCAGCCATGGGCCTTAGTCTTTACCAAATTTATGGCCCCCAATCTCAAGTCAGGGCCATGTAGGAAAAACCTCTGCTTGAAGCACGGCAAAGATGAGGACCAGCCCCAGAGAAGAGTTTAGACAACAAATTCAGTGTCTGTCAAGGAGAAGCAAGGCTTCAATTTAAAAGTGCTCCAACTCTATGTTCTTCTGGCGGCATCCATCTGAGCTTTGTTCTGGTTTTGTTTAGCAACCCAACTACTGATTTGGAAACAACAATTTTATATATGCGTTTAATTGCAACATGGGAACCAGATTTTTAAGAGATGACAAGCCCTGACTCAGAGCTCATGATTCAGGCAGTTGCACAAGAGAGCTGCAGAGTCAGTGTCTCCAGCTGCCAAATTCTTCTTCTGAGGTGCCCAAAAGAACAAGACAGCCCATCTTCATCTGACAACTCAGATGAAATTTGGAAAGCTGGAGAGGAGTTTAGATCGCAGTTTCAAACGACTGATACAAGTGTGATCTTCTGCATTTGAAGGTAACCCAGTGAAAGAAAAGCCCCTGTGCTTTTGTGAGAGTGCAGTGAATATTCACATGGACTTCCTTCTCAACAGTGACTCTACACAGATGTCCAGGGAAGATCAGGAGAAGCATACATAACATTTCCCCCTAATGTTTTCTCAGTATCAGTCTTTAGTTTGGAAACTTTATAAGCTGGATATACTTTTGTCTATTTAGCAAACTTATGGGACTTTCTTCGATGAGCCTTCCCAGTTTCCCTGTGAGCCCATGCAAACTTCTGACCTTCCATAAGGTCACCCTGGAGTTCTGCCATCACTGTGGGAAAAAACTGCCTCAATTTGTTTGTCCTGAAACTACCTCCTTCCATCTCTGTTTGAGGACCCTCAGCTCTTGCGCCAGAAGAGACCCTGAACAAGTGATCCCTGTCCATTTTCTTCAGACTATTCACATTTCTGGGACCTCTGTCATGGCCCTGCTAAACTTTTCCCCTTGTAGGCTGAAGAGCTCTAGCATGCTAAGCTGTTCCAGACTGCCGAACATCCTTGTGACCTTCTCCAACTTTTTTCAGCTCTCATATATCCTTTTTGAGACTAAAGTATTATACCAGATAAGATACAATTCAAGATACAGGCAGATCATGGATTTATGCAGTGGCATTGGGATGGCCTCCATTTCATTTTCTTTTCCTAACAATTTCTGATATTTAATCTTCTTTTTGTAATTCCTTCTCCAATTTTGTATTTTTTTTCCTCTGTCACTGAGTACTCAGCTCACATTTGTACTGATCTATCACAATGCCAAACAGGCAAAGGACAGCATTTCCCAGCCCCAAACTTGCCCAATGTCTCCCACAGCTCTTAGATGACCATCAGGACACAGTCCTTACCTGGGGTTTGGTTTTGTGCTGGACCAATTAGAAGTAGCCCATCCGGTGAGGTTTTGCCACAAATGTCCATGGCAAAATAAATCTCTTTGGTCTGTCCATCGATTAGCACCAGAACCACATCCCTCACCATGGCGGAATGGGGACCCTGGAGCTCTATGTACTCAAAGTCCTCAGAAGAAGAGACAGTGTGGACCTCACTGATCAGGACAGTGGATGCATTCAGCTGAGAAGTCAGGATGCAGTGGTTGTCTTTGCCTGGGCTGGGCATGGCCACCTGGAAGATCCATTGAGAACCGGCCCCGCGGCATCTTTCAATTGACTCATCCAAGGTCCTGAATGTGAAGTCCTCCAGGAAAGCATCTCTACCAGGGGTCAGGACACTGACCAGTGTATCTGCTCTGTCTGTCTTCTTAATCTTATGGACCAAGGCATCCACCAGACCGTCGCTTGTAACGCTCATGCCTTCCTTGTAATTCCCCTTCCCATAGTACAGAGCAATAGCATCAGGGCCATTCTGGATGGTGTTCTTAGGAATGACCATAGCAGGGTTTAAGGAAGAGGAGCCAATGAGGAAGAACCCTTGGCTGTTAGTGACTTTGCCCTGGAGGTTCAACACCTTGTAGGCTTGGTTTCCATTGCCGTTGTAGAATACCAGATAGTAGCCATCTAAGTAAGCAGTTCGACCACTGGTGTGATAGAGTTCCACAAATTCAGAAGTGTCCTCTCCGGGGCTGTCAGCATTAACTTCGTTAATCAAAAGCGTGTGCTCAGTTTTCTGGTCTCTAGGGTTTTTTATAAGATTCTGAGCAGCAACTTTGTGAAACCAGATGCAAGCAAGTGCCATCAACCCAACCAGCCTGGAAGCTCCCATGACGAAGGCTGGAACTCCAGTGTCCCTTTCCCAGCCACGATGCAGCATGGAAAGAAGATGCTACCACTTGGTCATTGCAAGGTGGCAACACGAGGCCTCACAACTGGCTGCCAACTGGGGTAGGCCAGGTGTGCGAAGCAAAGCAGCAATCCCACAAAAATCAGACAGAAAAAGGGGTGGTTTGAGCAAGGGATTTCCTGGCTGAGCTCTTTCCTTTGAAGGTGGAAGAATAAAAAAGGGAAAAGGGAAAAAGGGGAAAAAGAGAAAAAGGAAAAGAGGAAAAAAAGTGTGTGGGGGGGGGAGAAAAAAAGAGAAAATATAAGACCAAAAGGTGAAAAAAATAGCACAAAAACACACCAGTGCAAGTTAATGGCTTTGGAGCCCCAGTACATGTGGGCATCTCTAACTTTTCTTGCTTTGCTTCTTTATGGATTTACCAAGATGCTTAACCACCTCAGCTACTGAAATAGACAGCTGGGGACTGCGAGCTAGACTGAACATGAGGAAGCTGCCTAATGCCAAAGTGATCCACAGTGATCCCACGAAAGCATGGACCCTGGTGGGAGGGTCACAGAGAGCCAGTCTGCCCCCAAACACCTTCCCCTCTTCTCCACAGCCCTTACCTTCACCCGCTGTCATGCCCAGGAGCCTGGGAAGCCCTCGCGTTTCCCAGGACTGCTCCTCACATCTGCTCTCTTTTCTGCCAGATGTTCAGGATCAGGAATGTCCCCTGTCCTTTTCAGTTATGGCTCTTCCCCAGCATCACTATCAATACACTCCTCTGGGCAGCTCTTCTCCCCGCTCAGCCTCCAAAGACAGAATCCACACTGGCTTCTCCTCCCTCACAAACCCATCCTATTCCCACATTCTCTCCCCATTTCAGGTAGAAGGAGGGATAAGGAGTGAGGAATACACGGGGAAGGCTGCTGTCCAAGGGTGGTGCAGGACAGCACTGAAACCACAAGAGATCAGGAAAAAAAAAGGGTAAATAAATTTTCCAGGCATTGGGCAAGGTCATACGGCAGCCAGGGATTTCCCGGCACAGCTCAGCACACGGGTAAGTTTTGCTGTACAGACTGGCCTGATCAGGATGTAGACACAGGCATGTGCTGCTTTTGGAAGTGGCTCTGGAGAGCAAAAGGAGTCTCCTTCCGAGGAGCTCGAAACCACGCGGGAGGCCCCTGATGCAGCCGGGGGCAGCTGGAGCCGCCGGGAGCAGGAGAGGGACC